ACTATCCTGTGTTGAAGGACTTGAATCCAAAAAGTCACGGGATGAATCGACTCGAAACCTGTGTTGCACACGCTGGGCGTACACTTGCGGATCTCCTTGCCTGGTCAGCCCATCTTGCCAAAGCTTGGAACCCCTGTAAAGAAAGTGAAGAACCCGCCACACCACCACGCCAGCTCGAATCCAACTCAACAGAACCAAGCCAGAAACAGAAGATCATCGAGCACCAAACCGCTGTCATTAAACACCTTATCGCGAATTCCAAGCGCCAAGATGCTCGCATGGATATGCTGGAGGCAAAACTAAACGGTGTTCCTGTAGTTGCAACGCACAAAGGGACAGACAAGATGAAGACACAGCAGAAGTGAGCGAGCCCAAGAAGAAACAGCGCAGAGGATCTGTTATGCACCTTCACGCAACTTGGTTTACCTGGTATGCGCAAGAGCCACGCTAGCATGCCGGAGAACTAAAGCAGCAGCGGTCGAAAGCAAAGCTGCTGGTTGCGTTCATGAAGCTGTTTCTTGAAGACGGCTTCGTGCTCGAACCAAAAGACTGCGGACTACCGGTATAGAGTGCTGGAGCATGGGAGCGCGCCGAGGATTCTGTACTCGCATACTTGAAGAGAGAGCACGGCATCGACTCCGGTGCAGTCATCAAGTACCTCCAAAGGACCCATAGTTCTGGCACCCTAAATGACATGATTCAACGCCGTCATCGACTTCTCCAGACACCTACAGTTCCAGATCCAACTCCTGGCTACACGTAAAAGGTACTCGAGGAGGTTAGTAAGTACTGAATCACGACCTGGTCTCGTAAGCTGTACAGTCGGTAAGGAAGGGTGGGAAGAAGAGAAGAAAACGAGTAAGACTGACGTCCAACACGCACTGTCGGCGACGGCTTGACTGAAAGTAAGAGGCGGTCCACCACTAGTTCTCGTTATCCACCACATAAGTGTAACGTTATTACTGCAGATAAGTAACCAATAGTCAGTGGTAGCTGTGACGACTGGCTATCTTGTTTCTAATAACCGAACAGATGCAATTTACCCGGGTGACCATGGAGGTCCAGCCTCATTGTAGAATTTGCCAGGTTAGGAGCACAAGTCTCCCACGTCAGAAGTGCATAGAAACACAAAAAAAGCGAATTTCTTAGCCCGGAGGGCGTTTAAGGCCATTAAAGGAAACGATCGATGGAATCAAAACACTGGTTTTGGTGAGGTTGCGTTTAGATTCGCATTCCTCGTCTATATCAAAATCGCAACCTGAAAGTAAAATTCGACAATCTCCGAAAACCCTCTATTGTCTTCATACGTATTAAATGGACACCATAGGGCCAATCCATATCAAACTTGCAGTGAATTACACCTTAGTGCTCATAAGCTTTGTAATACCAGGTGTGACTGGTGATGCTGATACCGAAACAATGGGTGGTTGTCATAGAATCGAATATGGAACAGATACAGACACCGATTGCCGTTCATATAGCTTATGAGCCGCCAGAGTTCAACACCACCCCATGAATTAAGCGAGTCATTGTGCTTACTTACCGCTAAAAATTGAATGAAGAAACGCGGCGCACAGTCTGGCAAGCCTTTGAAGAATATAGGA